TTAGTAAAATACTAGTAAAATATATTAAAATTTAATAATTGTAAAACACACACACACACGCATATATGTGTGTGTGTGTGTGTGTGACAAATGTCCGTTGATACAAATCAAGTTTTATAAAGTTAAAATTTTATATTATTACTTTTCTTTTTTTTTATTAAATACTAGTAAAATATATTTAATAATTGTAAAACATATTTTTTTTTAAAATGAAATATGTTATCTACATGAGTATGAGTGATGCTATTGACACCCCAATTGTTTATCTAATAAAATCATATCTCAAGGATAAATTTGTAATGTTAAAATGTATTGCAGTTAACCATTCTTAAAGCACTATTTTAAAACTCGGACTAGATTAGTGGATTGGTTGGTCTGACCAGTTCGACCGGGACCCAGGGTCGACTTTGGTCCGAGTTAATAGTAAAATCAATAATAACTAAAGAACAGCTTTAGATCGATGGTACAGTGCAAACCGGTCAATGCGACTGGCCAGAAGCTTAATCCGGTCCACTAATTCCCTTGCATTAGTTTCATTCTCCATTTCGTTTCCAAGTTTCACTCTCAGCAAGCCAGCACAGAAGCAAGCATTTTCCATTTTCATCTCCAATATCAGTCGAGCCAACAGCAAGCATCCTTCCATTATCGAAATAGAATCTTCTTCATCTTCTTTGACTTCAACTTCAACAACGCCAATCGAAACTCGAGATATTCTCTTCATCTTCTTCACTTATTTTACAGGTTAGATTCTTCATCTTCTTTTAATTCTCTAAATCTTCCATTTTCATCTCCAAAGGTGTCTAAACTCTAAAATGCTTTTTTCTTTTTACTCTTCTATTCACTAAAGTGCGGCTTATTATGAATATAATGTGATACAGAGTCAATGAGGATCTAAAAGAAATTCTTTTTACCCTTCTCTTCACTGAAGTTCAACTTATTTGCAGGTGAGTTCTTTTTATTTTCTCTTCACTTGAGACTGTTTTACATAAATAGGTTTTGAAATAAAATAGCTTTCGCCTTTGTAGTAATTGTTGTATAAGTTCTATAAGCATTAGGTAATTAATAATGTCCATCCCTTACCACCAGCTCATGCCTTTTCTTTTGGATTTCGTCATTAGTAATATAGCAAAGTTTCANTGTATTACAATCAGAAACGATCGTGGAAGGAATGAAGCATCGAAAAGCGCCTGTTGCTTCTTGATCAGTCGGTGAGGTCGGTGCCTTTTCTATTAAATACTCATTAAGAAATTTTTGTGGGGCACCATGGTCTAAAAACTACCTCCTCACTCCCCTCCACCACCCCCTCTCTTTATGTGTGTGTGCAAGCACACGCGGGTGCAAATTGTTTGCAACAAATTGCTAATCTGTAAAAAGCATTCTTCACTCCAAGAAGCCACAATGACCACTGATCTTCTACGGAAGAATCTAAAGTTGAAAAGCTGATAAGATTCTCTGCTCGTTTTAACAATATGAAAATTCAATTCCAAAAGTCTGTCCATACATTCTAGATAGAGCAGAATAAGGGAATATAAATATATTTACACTAGTGACAAAGACACTTTCTTTCTTGAGAGGATAAGAAACAAAAACTGACAAAAACCATCAAACTGACAAGTGGGTTGTGTTTGGACAAGCGTTTTAAGACCAACCCTGTTTGTATCTGCGGAAGAGGTCTTCAGTTTGGGCATTTTTGAAGGCACTGCAGGCAATCAGATAAACCCATATCAGTACAACAACTGCAACAATCAGAATGATATTGGCTTTCCTCCATTCTTTTCTCAGGTTCCCCAACAGACCGGCTTTGCAGGAATTGCAATTGTAGCAGAGTTGGGTTTGGTCATTGTTCCACAAATAGCAGTCTGGATCAGCCATTGGATTCACTGGGTTTAGCCACAATGTTGGGTTCACATAACTGAAACCACAAACCGTTGGAGGCTTACAACATCCTGACTGTTTCACAACAAAATCAAACCTTTAATCCCAGAAAAAAACAGTAAAAAGAACTGCTAAAAAAAGGGGAAAAATATTAAAAGCACCCCACCAAACTATGTCTTTATATACACGCCAAAGCTGGCAACCATAACTAGCAATTTCATCTTTTGCAATAAAGACAAAGCAATAACCTTAATTATTGACTCGTTGATTACTTTAACTCGGGCTAAATTTTATAATCTTCTTGAGTTCTGATAATAAATGAGTGGGTAGTTACTCACTCTATTGGCACAAACTTTCCTGGCCTCGTGATGGAAGGGTACAAAATTTCATCTTCTTAGATAATTGCATATACCCCACAACGAATGATATCTGATATTGTGATTTCTTCTTAAATCATGCTGAGTTAAGCTATCATCAATAAAGTTTTTACTGGGAAAAAAAAAAGGGGCAAGTGGCCTAGCTAATTAAATTACATGTACCACACAGCATGTCAGCATGTGAGGCTTGTTGTCCTCAAATTTAAAAAAAAAATGATGCCCACATAATGGTAGGCACTAATACAATTTTTTTAAGGAAGAAGTGGGTCCTGCGTTTGGACAACTATCTAGTCCTGTCTTCTCCAGTGAGTTCCCGAAATCAGTCGATGTTCGTCTGATCTGTATCAAATCACCAGGAGAAGGAATCATGTTCGTTTACCCCCTAAGTCGTGATGGCAACCAATGGAAATGCGCCACATTCATCAAGATATTAACTTCGTTTGTTAGAACAGTACATTAATTTATGGGGAAGTCAGAAGGGAATATGCACGCCATAGAAATTGGAAGTCTGTATTTTGGAAATTAATGCTAAATCATGGTTGAAAATTTCTAAAACTGAATTAGAGTAAAGAGAAAGTGATGTTGGGTTGTTGGAATTATACATAACGTAAAAAAAATGAAAGGAACAATAGATAGAGAAGTTAAACAAACCTGAAGAGGAGAGATATGAGCACTAAAGAACTGATCGGGGGTGATGTATTCTTGGTTTAGTTTAGGACAAACATCGGTTTCACTGAGACAAGCTCGAATCTTGTTCCAATTCTTGGAGTCAACAACGTGATCCCTCAACCATCTGGAGAACCCATCAAGCCTGTACTCCCTGTAGCCTCTCCCGGGGACGGCATAGCTACCGTCAGGTCTCGTTACAACGAAGGCAAAAACAAGGAGAATGAGGAGGAGGGCAATCAGTATGGCCATGCAGCAGAGATAGAAGGCCAAAAGAGTCTCCTTGTACCAGTAGGCTCCAACGAAGCCACAGAGGGAGACAAAGAGGATGAGGAAACCGAGGATGACAACCGGCCAGCGAAAGAGATGGATACACTCATTGTCAGGCTTGGAGGCTAACCAGATGCCGGAAGCAATGATGGGGATGGAACATAAAAAGGCTATGAAGTTTAGAACTGCAGTTATGTTGTTGGCTACTCCCATGGTGGTGGTGGGTTTCTTTCCAGTTGGTGTGTTTTTGTGGTGTGAAAATGGTGAATTATATGGTTGAAAAGGTGGGTGAGAAACTGGATGAGGGCACTGTGCTCTAGCCTCTAGGTCTGGACACACAGTTTCATAACCAAAAACGGAAGTGATAATTTATAGATAAATATTTTGACTTTAACTGCTTCAATTGAGCCAAGGGCATATTAGGACACCTTGCTTTTTTTGATGTTACACCTTCACTAGCATAATAATACATCATGGGATAAGATAATTATTGATCTTATTTGTTGAAACGTATTTTAATAAAATACTGTTATATTTTCTTTAATATCCTATTCAAATCCAAATTATATTATAGATATTTTTTTATTTTTTTTTTTTTAATAATGTGATATGATTATAAAAGAACAAAATAAACATCTATGAGTTTTTAAGTTTAAATCCTCTTAAACGTTAATAGAAGTGGTCACTTATTGAGATTTTTATCCGATCGTTAATTCTAAAACCCTACATAATTAATTAAGGTGTACGCGAGCTGGCCTAACATCTTCAATAATAAAAAAATTATATTAAAAATGTTGAAAATTAATTTTAAAATACATATCAAAAGTCTTGCAAATGTATAAACATATAACCATTTTCACTCATAGAAACAAAAAAAAAAAGAATCTTGGTAATTGCTTTAATACTTCCGATTCCGTGGAAGTATAGATTAGGTTGATATGGGAATTTTATATACTTTATTTGGCCATCAAGTTGATGATAAAGACTATATAATATAAAGACATGAGAATATTAAATAAAGGGACACATAAGATAGATATACATATACAATTCAGAAGACTTGATATGAATTCCACATGCTTTTATTGGCTAACATGTCCACTTCTTTGGCATACTAATTAATGCCATCCAACCATACGTCACATTTTATCATTTATGAACACATATTGTGCTATCATCCCATAATTAAATGCATAATAATTGACTATTAACGGATTTTCATATCCCAATCCCGTTTAATAGTTGAACAATGTTGAATTGATTGATTCCTTGATGGTTTTCACTATCAGCATGTTATCTATTTTATTTTGTATTTCTAAAAAAGAAAATATTCTTATAGATATATGTATCTTTCCTATAAAGGATAAACAATGTGTTTGCATGAATATTTAGAGTGTTTTTTTTAAAATAAACTGTATTTTTGCATAATACTGTTAATAATCAGCCATATAATTTGACTAATAAAATGTTGTGTATCTTAACTCTCTTTAGTGAATGTTTCGGTTATAATTTATCAATTTACAGACCCTTTTTAATTACAACTTTAATAAAAAAAATATAAAAGTAATATTTTTTATATTACAGTCAAACGTTTCGAATAAAAACACCTTTTGTAAAGCCTTTAAATTTTCTCTAATGAAGCATTGCAAAACAGAAGCCATATTTGGTGACGTCGCGCATGTGTCACCGAGAAAGCCGCGGCTTCGTCGGTGCCATCGCCATGTGGCATGTGGTCTCGTCTTTCTTTTTTACCCTCCCAAAAGGCGCTAATTGCTTAAATTCCCCAACCGCTTCCCCAATTATAACACTCTATTGTTTGGCTACAAGTTTTATGCTAACCTTCCCCCACCCGCACAAATTTTCCCGCGTTTTCCAGAACTTGAAAAAGCAATTCCTCACTCTCCCAGTGAGAAGGAATATGGAGTCATGGCTCCCGCTCATGGACATTTTTCTCAACAACCCAACACCAGAAGTGGAAGCATCTCTATGGCTACAACAATCTTTCAGTGCCACGTCGTCGTCGTCAACCTCAACCCCAATCACTACTAGCTCTTTTATTTCTTTGCTCACAAAACCCTGCAATGTCACTATCAACGATTCATCCTCTTCTCCCACCACGAAAACGTGAACCCAGAACGTGATTTAGTTTAATTCTTCGGTGTTTTATTTTTCTTGCTTATTTTTACTGATTGTGGTTTTTGAATTACAGGGTTATGTTTATAGAGACTTTACCGGGTTTCGTACAGTCCAGGATTTTATCGTTTCTTGCTTTTGAGAATAAGAGATTTAATGCACGTGAGTTGTGTGGGTTGGCCAGGGATGTAATGAGTGGAGGTGGGGGGAGTGATTTTTGGGTTAAGAGAACTGCACGCCATCTGTTTGACGCGGTGTCTGACTCGAACTATGAGTGGATTTCTGGCTTGAGTTTGGATTCTGAGGATCAAAAATTTGATGAAGAGTTTGAGTCTGTTCCGTCTTGGCTTAAGGGCTCTTTGAGTAGTAACGATGATTTGCTTTTCCCTTGGCTTCCTATATCGCTTAATGAATTGAATTCAAGAACCTTTTTCACTGCTTGTGAAGATGAGAATGATGAGGATTCAGTGAGTGAAGTGAGAGAGAGTTTAGAGAATGAATTGAATGAAGTTGTGGAGGAAATCCAGGATGATTGTCCTACACATGTTTGTACAGAAGGTGAGATCGGAAAAGTGGCAACAGATTTAAGCGAGCGGCTTAGGAATTTCGAATCTAGTTATAAAACTGTAGCTTTAGCCAATGAAATACAACAACTTTGTTTGGAAAAAGGAGGAGACTCTTTTAAGGTTTTGGGTTTGATTAAACCTTGGAAAGCAGATGATGAGACTGCTTCGGTTCTGATTTCTCATTTTTCAAGTGGAAGTGAAGACGAACTTGCTTGGCCAAGCCAGGTTCTTTGCTCAGTTGTCCTTCCTAAGTTATTGGTTCTTGAGGAGCCCGCTTCTCGTGTGCTTGTGAGTGCATTGATAGAGTACTGCAAGATCCATCAGAGAGCTGCTGAGTATGCATTAGTTTTTCCTCTAATATTGCGAAGAGAAGGTATCAACAACCCTATTTGCGATGTAATAACAAGAATTTTAAGGGAATGCCTGCACCCAGCTCATGTTTCAGCCTTCTGCCAGAAACTGCTTTATGGAGGAGAAGATGAGAACAGATTCATCTGTCTTCCATCCCACCAATGTCTTATCTCTGATGAACTGGTATGGACAGAATCCTTGTTTACTCTTTTCCAAAATATCTTGAATCATAATGTTCATTTTACTCAGGATTCGATTGATCATATTGTTTTCCGGGTTGTGGAATTGACTGAAAGGTTTTTCAAATCTCTTAAGTTTGGAAACTTTTTGTTATGTTTGGTCACCAAATGTGCCCCACTGTTGAAGTCTCATAAGCTTTTATTGATCGAAGTCGTTGAGCACACAAATACGATTGTTACCAAATCTATATTATCAAAATTGGCTAGCTTTTAGCAGTTGTACTTTTCAGATCATTCTTGTTGATGTGAGTTTGAATCAGTCTTTGGGAACATACAGTTTGCACAATCTGCAAGCTCTCATTAGAAAAGTTAACATTGATATAATTGTTTGGATCATTTCTTGGGTGTTGCTACGTAGGTTGTGCTCTGGAAACATTTGAAAAGTTTTAATTTTCATTGATGAGTTATTAGGGCCTTGTTGGCTATATTCTGTTTAGATTAATAGTTAACCTAATAATATTCAGAGAGTTAGTCAATGCTGCTGTCAGCCTGTCACTGGTGTGTATAACCATTTAGTCATTTTTGTCTCCCTAGTGGCTTATGATATTTCTTCTTACCAACAAAATTTAGGAAGCAAAGAATAAATATGGGTTTCTGTGATGAGCGAGTTTTCTCAATTTCTGGAAGACTGAACTCAAACGTGTCCCGAAAAGCCCAATAACTCATTCACCTCATTAATAATAATATATATATATATGGATTGTTTCCAAATGATCTTATTTTAATATTTTTATTTCTTTAGATTTTATATATATCTCAACATTTAAGACGTAAGGCAACAGATAAGATGCAATTGCTTAGGAAGAAATATGATTTGCATATGCAAGAAAATATTCACTCAAATCATGGATTTACTATGTTAGGTAAATTGAATGAGCTTGTGGTGCTGTGAACTATATAAGAATAAATGGCCATGTGGTTTCCTTGGTTATCTTTTGTAAACTACAAAAGTATGCTAATATTCTATATAATTTTATCAACTTTTTTGATATATAAAGGGTAGGTTTAAGGGCACCAATTATTTTTCTAAAATCAGTGACACAATTTTTTGAGTCATTTGGAGTGAGGTTGAGTTTTCATGTTAACTTGCACAAATAATCCATTTAGTTTCCAACTGTTTAAAGACAAAAATTTACAGTATTTTAAAAGCGGAAATTTGGTTAAATTTTGTCTTTTATAAATTATGTGATACCTATGAACGTGATCCGGATTTTAAGAAAATCAGGAACGTTTGCATTTGGGAACTTTCATAGATATATCGACTTCCTCATACTCTTTTATTTATTTATTTTGTTAATTACCTTTCATTTCTTTTGTCACTTTGAAATGGGGTTTCATGTTAGGAGTATTTAAACTGCTTTCGTAATTAAACTTCAATGATTTATAATACTTCAATACAGATAAATGATAAATGAAGGATAGAGAGCATCATTTGTTACATTCTCAAGAAATCCAACAGCATAACTCTCTTTCCTAGTTGGGCAAAAATAAAAACACATTCTTCTATAGAAATAAGAAAATGTAACGTCAAACTGACAAATAAACCCCTTACATAGTATCCGTAGCCTAAGTAACTGATACTTTTATATAAGACTATTGTGGTGGCCATTGGTCATCTTCTTCACTGACTCGAATCTGGGGCTTTTGTCTGAGAACTTCGTGGTGGCATAGAGCTTCAGGTAATCCTGAAAACTGTAGTTATTGGGGTATAAGAGTTTGGGAGCCGGAGAAATAATGGCCTCACCAGCAGGATTGTAGAAGGTTGCAATGGAGAGTCTGCTTCCTTCCTCCCCAGCCATTACACGATGCAACGCACTTTTGTAACTTCCATTACTCAGCACTTCCACTTGGTCACCTGTGTTGACAAAGATGGTGTTGTTTTTAGATGGTGGGATTTTTATCCATTCTCCATCTTTCAAGAATTCAAGACCTGGAACTTGGTCGTCTTGGAGGAGGAGGATGATCCCTCCAGCATCAGTGTGTTCTCGAAGCCCTCTCACAAGCTCTGGACGAGGACATTGAGGATATTTTGCCACTTTTGTCCCCACAGAAGGACCTTTCTCTCCCGAGAATGTTTTCATTATATAATCTTTCTCTAAACCAAGGTTCTCGCACATTAGTTCAGAAAGCTTCTCTGCTAGCTTAATTAGTTGAGCGATGTACTCGTCCATTGTTTTGCTGCAGGTACACATCACATATAGGTCAATAAATTTATCGATATTATTTTGAACTAGATATATAAGTTGAAAGCGTAATTCTAGCTTGACAGATTCATAGTGACTAACCGAAGATCCTCAGATAGATTTGTAATTTCATTGATGTTAGATTTTGGATGATGCCAGATAAAAAAGGTGCTTTCCCAGTCCATATCATTTAAATTATCTTTGCTGTTCAACCTTTTAGCCATCTCTGACTCATAGAAGCTTTCCTTCAAGTTATGTTCATAGTGTGAGTTCACCAGCTGCTTCACCTTTTCCATCAACTTCTTGTCTATTCCATGGTTCTCAACCTGCAGAGATTAAGCATTTTGGTATTAGAATGAAGAGTTGATCAAATATTCAATTCAAATAAAGAAAACGCCATCTTTTTTACCTGAAAGAAGCCCCATTTCTCACAAGCTTGATGCAGAAGCGCCATTGTTTTTTCCCTCTTCTCACCTTCGAGATCACTGAAATCTATCACAGGGATCTCCATTTTTCTTTCTATCACAGTGTAAAGATGAGTAACTGAGGGTGGTATTTATAGGCTTTGAAACAGGGCTTGCTTTCTTTTTCTCTCTTCTCTTGTTTTTTACCACTTCTTAATTGTGGCAGTTAGATTTGGAGCATAAGTAATTACAGGTATAGTATAGCAATGACGATAATCATGTGATTGACTTTATGTTTCTCTGATTGGCCAACCATGTCCTCGTTATTGCAACGCAAAAAATAAAAATTCTTTTATTTTTTTGTATAAGTAAATTTTTTCTTTGACGTGGACTACCCGCCCCTTGTAATGCCTATCACGTTGACTGTCTCTTTTGCCCCTTTGTATTATTGTCTGTATGCATGTCAACCAGTCAACATGGCTATATTCTAACTCTATGAATGGGAAACTTGTTTTGCTTGTTTTGGGCATTGGAAATCCTCATTTCAAGCAAAACTAGGGGCAGTGTTTCTTACTGAATGATTTGACCTTCAAAGAGAAAGTGGGGGATAGGAATCTTTTTCTCTTTAGAGACATTCCAATGGGCGTTCTTGGTGGAAAGTAGTCAGAGTCAACATTTCTGTATTGGTTGGTTTTTGTAAATATTCTCGGTACTGGCTTCAATGTAGATATTAGACTGATATATAAGTTAAATATTCTTATTGGTTGGTTTTTGTCAACATTCTCAGTATTTGTAATTGGTAAACTGATGATGTTACCATTTATCGTATATTGTAGCACTTGGTTTTATGCCATGACTGATCAGATTCAGCTGCAGGATTAGAATAACTCTAATTTTAGATTTTTTATTTATTATATAGTTTGAGAGACGTATTAGAAGAGCCTTTTCTGAGAGAACAGTAGAGCTTAGTTTTCTACCATAATTTAGAAATCTGATGATGGTTTTTGGACTGTTTTTAATGCTATTTCTATGTGCTAATCACTGTATAGATGACTTTTTGAAACTTTTATTGCCATGTGACAATATGATGAAGTGCAACAAGTAAAATCACTATTATTTAGTCTCTTTTGAATGAAGTAAAAGTGTGTATAAAAAACCTCTAAGGTATCGGAGAAAGAAATAGATTAAATAGTTTTACAAATTAAGAGGCAGATCTGAGATGTTATTTTATTTACTTAATATTTGCGTCTGAATAGTTTCTTTAAAATTAGTGAGAAATCATTCCCAAGGATGCATCAAGTCACAGAAGAATCTAAACTTTAAGGAAAGGTACCGAAACCTAGCCAGGTACAAAGCAACTTGATGTAGTTTGCTTGATAAGTTATCGCTCCAAATTAATTAAGTTTTCGTTGTTTGATTCATACAAACGCAAACTCAACATTCTGCTTTTGTTCACACTAAATTATCGCCGGCTATTGTAACTTTGTTCTTTGTATTGAGGAATTATTGAATTGAAAATATGCTTATAGTCAATTAAAACATGTCTATACTTGTTACTTGAAAATGCAACAACCAGAGATACCCAATCGACCTTGGCGGGATTGGATAGGATATGTACATGATTACAAATAACCAATTAGGAACATATTAGAAAACAAATAATGAAAAGACAAAGATAGATTTTAAAGTGGTTTGGCGAGTTAGAATCAAGTTTACGTTCGTTGTCATGTTATTGTTTTGTATTTGCTTTACACTCAGACTAATTATAGAGAAAACACATAAAAACAAGGATCAACTTGTGTGAATAATCGATCTCCCAAAACAAAGGTGGTTTCTCCTTTTTATACATCATCTGATAGTGGTTGTTACAGAGTGTATTATACACATAATCTCCCGTAATTCGGATTTGAGTCGGGCACACCCATATGTAAAACTGAACACCCATGCTTAATACTGATAATCTTGCTAGTGAAACCATCTGCTATGGGAACGATACGTGAGGTGAGCTTAATCGTTAGATCCTGATATGGTGTAAGGAGAGGTGACACAAATTTGGTTGTCGAAAAGTCCACTGCACAACAATACTAATAGATGAATTAGTGGTGTTGAGAACTTGTGCTGTGAATAGACTGTTGTATGTCCAACAATGAATGTGAACATTTTAATGATAATTAAACACTCGATGCTTACATATAAATCATTACATAATCACAAGATAAGGATAAGTTTTTAATGTAGCTATTGACTTTTTGTAAAACACATGTTAATATTAATAAAGGCAAATTCTCTATATCATTGTGTTTATATTATTTAATATATTGGTATATGCTTTTAGAGCGGTAAAATCACGATGAGAGTATCAAATGTTTTAAATTTTGATTGTAAGGATTCTATGATCACATATGATGGTTACTCTAGAATTGTTCGCAGCCTTAGTATTATTCTGAATTAAGGTCAGTGGCGGATCCAATAAATGACAAGTGGAGACTACAGACCCTACTCAATTTTTAAAAAATTTCAGATTTTATATTTATTTAAATTTTACCCCTATAGAATTTTGAGATTTTGAAAACAGAAGGGCCCCTACTGTAAGTTTGGATTTTGTTTTAGTAAAATCTCATTTTTAATCCTAATATATATATTTCGTATTTTTTGTGATTTTTATTTTTATGCAAGGGGGTTTGTTAGTTTTTAAAAGCTTTTATTATGAGTGAAAATTAAAGGAATAAGAACTGTTGGGTTTGCATCTAATTGAGGGGAGAAATCTGTGCATTTTTACAATAAAACTGATGTAGCAGGGTCATAGTGAGAATAAGAGATCAAAAAAATTGTTTTATACGTATATAAATTGGCTGTTCGCCCAAAATGAAGAAGAAGAGAGAAAAACTCATAAAGAAGAAAGGAAAAGGAAAAAGAGAAGAGAGGAAATAATGGGTTTGACCAGTTTTTTCTATCTAATTTTTCTGCACTTGAGTTGACGGTATTTGAGAACTAGGCTAAGACTATGTTATTGACATGCATTCTTGTGATGAATTTGCTAAGTTATAAGAAATTGGTGATTTGGCTAAGAATTTAGTTCAGTTTAAAAAAAACATTTTATATCTGTAGGTGTATAAGCTTGTGAAAGTTGTATTGGTTTTACCAGTTGTGATTGCGACCATAGAAAGGATTTTTTCTGTAATGAATCTTGTGAAAAGTCGGTTACGCAATCGAATGGGAGATCAATGGATGAATGATTGCTTTGTCACCTATATTGAGAAAGATGTATTTGATACAATTGACGATAAGATGATTATCCAACGTTTTTAAAATGTAAAAACTCGTCGAGGACAATAGTAGAAAAATTGTTTTATGTTTACAAAAATTGTGTTTTTTGAAAATATTTATTTGTATTTTGTAACTTTTTGTTGAAGCTCATCGTAATGAAAAAAAAAAAGCATGGTGATGATTGGTTTTATTTTATTTTTGTTTATTTTTTGCCCTCATAAAGTGAAATTCCTAGATCCGGCACTGATTATGGCACAAATAACTCAGTAAGACTATTGTAGCGTTGAATAACCTTGTCGAAAGATAGTGATAGATCTCTCGCATGTCAAAATTGTTTGGTGACAACTTGATGCAATGCTTGAGTGTTTGTAGTTAGCAAGTTCATTGGATTGACCTCTCAAAGGATTTCATATAAGATGGTAACTTTAGTGTCTATGGAATATATTATTTAACGGATGGTGGTGCATGTGATCCTTAGACTTGAGATCACCAAAGCATTGTGCGTAAATATTGATGTAGTTTGACACTAATCTAACGTAATCTTATTGAGGGTTATCAGTACGATAATGGTTGGCTACATTGAGAAATGCACTATGACTATGGTGAATCGACATAGGATTCATCATTTATGGGTATATGAGAATTTATCTCGTTGAATAATTCGGTAAATGATAACAACCGCAAATCTGTACCCACAGTGAAATTGAGTTGGTGCTGAAGTCCAATTTTATTTAGACGTTGGTTCGGTGACTGAATACGAACATATCAAGATAGTTGATTTGAAGTTGACACTATTTATGTTCTTCAAACCTTGATGAGATAATAGATGATGAAAGAATTAGATTACACGGTAACCATATTGTTGATAGGAAGCTATATCGCTGAATCTGAATCTATTGTGTGGCCATGATGCCTTGTCAGAGACCAATCTTGGACTGTGTTTAGTGAGACGATTAAATGAGTGTTAATTACGACAGTACTCACTGTCGATATGATGAAGAGCTTACGAGTCATACACATATAAGATAGTATAAGAATTAATAAGTAAAAGGGGTATTTTCATCTTTTAAGATAAAAATGTATTTTATTAATTTCTCAGTGCAATTAAATTTGGTGAGATTGTTGCCTGTATTTAATTTCATATGAGAATTAAAATTAGTGAGATTACGTATTTATTTAAATGTATGTGTACATATATTTAAATGCAATATTATTATTTGATATTAATGTAAAAATACCATATATGGCTTGTTTGCTTGTGGGGTTAATTCTATTCTAATAAAGGAATAGGATATGTGCTACTCCAATTATGGACCAGGGTTTTATTTGTTGCACTGTATAAGTGCAACTTAAAATAAAACAAATAACACTTTTTAATATTGAAAACCCTAGCCATCCTCTCTCTAAAAGACGTTCACCCTTGAGAGAGTGAATTTTTCAATTGAAAAATTCTGCCCTTTTTAATTCTAAAAGTCAATTGATTATTCAAGCAAATTAAGCAATTGATATATCGTCCTATTTTGTGTGGATACCGTTCGTGCATTCCTATTCTTGGAGTGAAAGTGAATCCGCAAAAATCAAGTGAAGGAGCCTACAAACGCTGGTATGAAATTGAATTAATACTTTTATTAATTGTTTCATGTTTAAAACAAGGCAAACCAATATAAGGATTGCAAGGTTTTGGTTTATGAATAAGAAATTCTAAATTTTGCTGCGCTACAATTGATTCAATAAACTGACAAAACTATGTAAATGTAATTGAAGTTGCAGCAGCTGATTCAAATACAATTTTGATAGTTATGTATTGATGCATAAAACCCTATCTCCGATCTTAAGTAAGGATATAATTGTAACAATAAAATTTATTCTTCTTCCATACTTTTTACTTTTTACTTTAAAATTTTATATTTATATATATATAATTAGAGAATGTTAGATCCACAACCTAATCTCACAACTTTCTTTCACAATCTCTAACATGGTAGCTTGTCATTGGTTAGCGTGTAAAATGGGTCTTACCCACCCATTTGCGAGCTATCCCATGACGAGTTGTCACATCGGGAGCTGGAAGAGAAGGTTGTGAGATTGAGTTACAATTTTGGATGTTTTGTGCCCCATTGTTCTTTATCTTGTGCTTCTTTCCCTCTTCAAGTGTTTGGATAAATGGGGCCATTGTTAAACAGAATAGTAATTAGCAATGGGGGCTAAAGCGTAAAAGAGAAAACCAGTGGAGGCTAACAGTCAAATCACTTCCCTAAAATAAATTGTCATTGTTATAGGAGTTAGATTTTTGGTTAAGTAGATTGGGCCGTGGGCTCAGCCCAAAGAGAATCTGCTGACAGAAAATTAACTTAAAAAAAAAAAAAAAATCTCTCTTAATTATTTTCTCTCTAACCAAACACTTAATTTTCATCACTTAGAATTATGGTTTTAAAACCTGGCCCGGCCCGTCTGGTTCAACCGGTGATCGAGCCGGTCGGTTAGACTAAAAAACCAAAAATTTCAAATGACTCAGTTTGAATCGTGGTTGGATCGGATTTTTTATTACGAACTTTTTAGTTATTTTTTTATATGTCATGTTGATGTCATAATGATGTCATCACGCTGACATCACGGTTTGAGCCCGTGGTTGAACTGGTTTGATCGGTCAACCCAGTGACTTGGTAACCTGATTAGGCCACTCCCCGGGTCGGGTTTTAAAACCTAGCTTAAAACTCCAAGAGATTAATTTGAAGGAATAAAAAAAGTTTATGTCATCTACAAGTTGATTAGTAATAATTAATAGATTAAAATAGTCCTCTAACGTAAGATGAGGGGAGATTCAAACCAAACCAATTTATTAAACACCATATTGTCAGTCAGGAAAGTGATTTTGTCATATAAAATTAAGAAATAGATTTTTCTTTAAGATATAAGTATTCGTAAGAGATTGGTGATTCTGGTTATATAATACTTGGGTCTATTAGTATTGAAAAGTTATATTTAGTTCAATTTAGCCCAAAAAAAAAAAAAAAAAAAAAAAAAGCAAAGGATTAAAGTAAAAATATAGCTGTAATTAAGTGTAGAAGAGAGATATAAAAAGTTTAAAAAAAATTATTTTATTTTAAATTCAAATTAAAACTGCCAAGTTATACCATTTGCTTAAAACCTCAAGTACACTAGTCAATTGTGGAAGCATCTTTTGCGTGAATATAAAGAATTTGATTTAAATAAAAATAATGATAATTTCAATTAAATAAGTCATGTTTGGCCGACAGGATCTAATGAAATATTAAAAAAATTACGAAAGATCAATTTGATTTATTTTTACAAGTTAAATACCTAAATTATTTATTGTTGAAACTCTTAAAATAACATAACCATTTATTTATTTAATTTTTTTGGTAATTGAGATGTCCAAATTAATTTATACGTATTTTAACTAATTTTTAAAGTCTATTAAATATATAAATTCAAAGGACTAAATAAATAATAACGTTATTATGGTATGCAGTGGCGGATTCATAAAAATTTTTTAAGGTGGGTTAAAATAAAAATTAATTATAGATAAATATTTTTGTTCATTAATATTTTTTTTAGGGTAAGCTAAAATCTAAAAATTATATATAAAATATTTAAAAAGCCCAAAAGTGGGCTGGAACCGCGCATGATGGTATGTGACATCAATGTTAAAAACTAAAGGAATAAAAACGAACAATTTTTACCATTAATTTTGAATAATATCATTTATCATATAAATATTATATTAACTACCGATTACAAAATGTTGATAGATGCAGTAGGGCTATCAGCTATGTGTCAGTTTCACATGCAAATTAAATGTTTGGTATACTGTCATCTGATTCTCCCTAAAATAACCTTAATACAAACCCAAACACACTTTTAAATTTTAATGTTAAGATTTTGGATTATAAAATAAATTACCTTTTTTAACAATCATACCCTCCCTGTCAATCCAAGTTGCCCCTCGGCCCACCCATGAAATCTTCTGTGACACATGTCAACTTCACTAAATTTATCTTAAAGCTACGCTGTGTTGACTGTTGCTTGCTTCGCGTTCAACGGTTGTGATCTTTTGACCTTCCCACTGCCATTGCTCCACTCAGAAATTTTATTATTAAGATCGGTGTGATAATCGTAATACTACCTGGAAGAGCGTGAGGAACACGGCATATCCACTCTCTGGTGCATTGCCCCAACCCAACTTCCCCGATCGATGTGCGTGCGTGGTTCTTTTTTTCTTCCGAAAGGAAAGTACCACTTTTAAATTAATTTAGAATCAATTTAGATTTTTTTCTTATACAGGAATCAACCTACTTTGCTTGATTCTAGGGATTTACATTTTTAAAATAATTTTACTAGGATTTTGCTTCAATTAATATTCTCTTCAAATTTCAAAAAACATCAACACAAATTTAAAATCGAAATATAGATAATGTTATTGCTGTTTATTGTAAAACGACAGCAAATGAAATAAATCTTTAACTAACATATCTATTACTATTTTTAATTTAACGTTAGTTCCGTTGGTTTATATTGAATTTCCCCCCAAAAAAAAATTAAATAACATTTTAACTATGCTATATTTAGTTTTAGAAGCATTAATTTAAGTCATATTATTAATAATTGTCTAAAAGACTTGCATTTTTTAACAAAGGAGATTAATGGCCGAATTTAAGTAACCGTAGTCTGGCTGTTTCGTGCCAAGTATGTTTCAGGGTCCGATACTGACGAATTGAAAGTTGCCAACTGGAAAGTAAACTTTTCCACTGTCCCTCACGCGCATTGTCTTGCGCGTAGCGTCACCATTGTCCCTCCTCACCTGACTGAACATCACTCCCATTCCCAATCTGCAGCACCATTTGGATTTGGTGCATTTCTAAGCTAACCTAACCTAACCAAAACACCAAGGAAAGAAACACTTTCCCTTTCCTTTCTCCTTAACAATTCCAAACGACACGTCGCCGTTTCAGGTGCTTTGCAGCAATGAGGTTATCTCTCGCACTCTTCATCATTGTTTCTCTTCTCCTCTGCTTCGCCTCCACCGAATCTGTCACTGAGTCCAACTCCGAGATCAATGCCACCGCTGCTGAGTATAATAATGTGTCCAGCGCGAGATCCAAGGAGGACAGTTTCGCTGACATGCTTGATCGTGCTCTCGAAAAGGAGTTCAATGAGAGTGACCAAAACGAAGGTCTCTTCTAGATCTGAACCATTGTTTTTTTTTTTTTTTGTTATTATTTATGTCTGCATTTATTTATTAGCGGTTGTTCAACTAGGGTTTCTGTGGTTGCGGATCACTTTTATTTTAAATCAATCCCGTTTATTGAAGCAGGAGAACTCATTTTAAGTAAAGCTGAAATGTTATCATTAGGTTGTGCTGGGTGTGGCTCTTGTAATTAGAACAAAGCATTATCCTTATAAAAATTAGAAAAAAATGAACAAATGGAAAGTGTGTATCTTAGATTGTGCTTACATGTTTGTGTTTTTCTGTTGCAGCTACTGATCCTGGCAGCTTCAACAACAGTGTTGCTGGAGAACAGGTTGCTTATCATATTCTTTTTAATCCATATGATTTTCATTGACTTTTCAGTGGACGGCATTTTGTAAAAAAACTGTTGTTTTATATATTTTTCATTTGTGGTGCTGACGAGAGGACAGTATTGTGAAACCACTGTTTAGTTTGTATTACTTGTAACAACTTATGATGGATGTGCATTGTTGCCGTTACAAAATTGTGTCAAAATGGATGGAAAGTAGATAAAATAGAAATTCAATGTGAAACTTCATATTCAAATGCTGATGGCTGATTGAAGAGTTAAATAAACTGTATGTGGAGAGCCTCTATAGTTGAATCTGGCAGTTTTGCCTGATGAAGTGTATTTGTCTGAATGTTGTATCTTTGGTCTTGACAGGCTGTTTTGGAAACTGTTGCCAGAGTTAAGAAGAAAAATGAGACCAAGGAGGAGAAGTATGTCCCTGTAGCTTGAAAAATATATTATTCATTTTTTTTTTAATAAATTTTTGACATGACATTCTTATTACAACAATGGGAATGCTTATTTTGTTTATCTATGATTTGCAAATTTCTGACACGATTGTGAGCCTTATGTTAGGTCATTTCAGTTTCATGATGTTTTTAATTTGGATAATGAAAATGGACAAGAAGATACTCCAACATTGATTGATCGGAAGGTATATTTAGTATTGTGCAATTCATTACCTACTTGATTATTTGTCTTTTGCATGCTTTGGTAGTTTATCTTGTATGATGATACACTACTTCAAACAGTTACATTTTTTACTAGCCAATATTTGAAGTTGATAAAATTTGATCTTTTATAAAAATTTTCTTCAGGACAATGTGTTTATCATATCAAATGCAAAGTCGAAATATCCAGTGCTACAACTAGACTTGAGGTTTGTTACTGACTATTCTGTTATCACGCCCCTGCCCCAACCTCTCAGTAAGAGAAATTTGTTGGCCATTCCAACCTGTTCAAAATGATGTTATTTGCAGATTGATATCAGATCTGGTGGTTGTTATTGTCTCTGCAACTTGTGGTGGCATTGCCTTTGCTTGTGCTGGACAACCGGTTAGACCAATATCATTCATCTATCTTTTATTATTTCTGCAACTGCCTTTGCTTTCAAAGACTCTGTTTTTGGTTACTTTCATACAGCATCCTTAAGGAGTATCTTTCAAATTTTGATTTTGCAGGTTATTACAGGATATCTGCTGGCAGGATCTGTTATTGGGCCTGGGGGCTTCAGCTTTGTCAGTGAAATGGTTCAAGTATGTTGCTTCTTCTCACTATTGTCTTATATTTGGAAAAAAAAAAAAAAGTGATTGTGCTGGAAGGCTATATAATATTCTTTCTCTCTTGATATAGTTCCATATTAGAATAAGTTTCTCATTCTTCAGTCAATATATTTCAAATCTTATAGCTGTTTAATATCACATATCACTTCTTATATTCTTTCAGGTTGAAACAGTGGCCCAATTTGGTGTCATTTTCCTTCTTTTTGCATTGGGCCTGGAATTCTCCACATCAAAGGTTCTCTCATACTTCTCTCATCCATCCATGCTTATAATTTAATTCTTTTCAGTTGAAGTAACTATTGTCTTTTCATAATTACAGCTTCGAGTTGTTCGTGCAGTTGCCGTTTTAGGAGGTCTTCTCCAGATTTTTCTATTTATGTGCTTGTGTGGAATAATAGCTTCGGTATGACTTATATCATGAAAGTTTTGGGTACATAGTTGGTAATGGAACAACCTAGGTGCCTGCTCACCATAAAGATTACCTTTATATGAAGTGGTTTATGTTTAAACTTTAATTGTATTCATTTGATTGAGTATTCTACAGAATATTCAGCCGTTATAAAGATTTTTTAAGTTGCTGGCTTAAAGAAATATTTTATTGTTCCCAAGGCTGTTACCTTTTTTTTTTTTCTTTTCTGGATAAGAGACCTAAGATGTTACTATATAAAGTATTTTACCCTGTGCTCCCAGTTCTGTCTAGATTTGAGTTTTTGATGGATGTATCTGTATGCCTTTTGCAGTTGTGTGGTGGTAAGCCTTCAGAAGGGGTATTTGTTGGTGTCTTGCTGTCTATGTCTTCAACTGCAGTGGTAATTTTTTGGCACAGTGATGTCATTTTGTTAATATAATTTATATCCTAGTAGTAATCTGATGGTGAAAATTTTGTTTAAGTTATCATTGCTCTTTATTGCTGGCCTTTCCATGTGGCTGTATATCTCTCTATTTTATCTCTTTTCATTCTAAATATGACTAATTGTAGATCACATTTATTGCGTGACATGATTTCCTATTTCACATCATTGTATTTGTAATTAATCTCCTAAGATAAAGAATTCATCTAGGAAATGCTTGTTCAAATAGGAGCTGAGGTAAAATCCTGTAGAAACTATAATACTTACAGTAATTATATAAGTATTACAGAAACTAAAACACAAATCAATGCACTGTGCTGGTTAATTATAAGATATGTCTCCATTCCTCATAAAACATTTTAATTTTAGTTTTCTTTAGGACTACCTTCTCACTTCTTAACCCTCTTCATGGGAAGTTGGTAGTCTCCCTCAAGTCAATGAGGTGAATAAAAGTTAAAGTTGCTGAATAATTTAAGAAACTTGGTGCAATATAATCATGTATATTATGACTGCTCTCTACGTTGGGCCACCATTTTGACGGCTGAAGTTTGGAATATGTTACTGGTGTCTTTTATTTCATCTTGCCATCAATTGGTATTTTCTGAAATATTTATTATCTTTTTTGTGCTAGTCATATCAATGATATATACATATATTTATTTCTTTATTTTTACTTCTTGTTGGCTATTTATAAACCAGTCTGAACTGCTTGGTGCTCTCCAAACCTGCTCAGTGTGATTAATGGCAAGTGAGAGTAATGATTTGAACATTTATAAAGTTTGCAAATTGTTTGATGCACTTTAATAGTTATACAGACTGGAGAGGAGGCTACTTTCTTTTTCAAATCCTGGCATCATTTCATATGCTTGAGATTACTGAATAGATTAAAACATGTGGGGTTCATGCGCTTCTACTTCAAGGGGTTGACTGGTTATGTATTAGAATACCTTAAAACATGATGTTATGGTTGACAGAGATTGCAATCTTTGAAATTATTAATACCTGATCAGAATAATAGCATTTCCAGGTGTCTTTGATCCTGGTTGTCTCCTTGAATATGTTTCAGTGGGAAGTTTCTAACATGATGGAAATAAGAATGAAAGCTCTTCCATTGTATAAAGTGTTTTATAAAATGTATGTTGGAGGCTTAAATTGGATTTCTTTGTTACTGTTTACTCATTTATAATATCTTTCGTACATGTTATTTTAAATGCATATGCATCATATAAGTGTTTGTTACACCTTTGCTGGCCACAGGTTTTAAAGTTTTTGATGGAAAGGAATAGTATAAGTGCCTTACATGGTCAAGTCACAATTGGTATTCTTATTTTGCAGGTACATATTTTCTCAGATAATGATAATGATTAATGCTATCTTACTTGCCTGGTTTAAAATGATTGATAAAATTTAGTTATCTATTTTCCATATGATATTGTTCATGTTGTCCCACAGGATTGTGCTGTGGGTTTGCTTTTTGCTCTGCTTCCAGTTCTTGGTGGAACGTCTGGTGTTCTTCAAGGAGTAATATCCATGACTAAATCGTAAGGATATAATTTAAAGTTTATGTAATTAAATCGTTTTTATTTGATTGATCTCAGGAACTCTGCCTGCATCAACTACTGTATCATTGGGGTTTCATCTTTTCTTTGTTTCTCTGTTATGTTTTACATTCTAAATTTTTGATAGTAAACATATCTGTCGGACATCAAATTTATGATAAATGGTAAATGTTAAGAGTATTTAGATGTAATAATTTGAAACTTGTGTCCTCAGTTTTCCGGTTGATTGGACTAGAAATAATGTATATTGGCTGTTGCATACCTGGATGTCTTTCGATGCATTTGCCTACATACTAGAGTATTGATTTGTTGCTTCACATGGTAATATTGAATTTCCAGATTGGTGATGTTGATTTCATTTCTGGCCATTTTGACGATATTATCTCGTACATGTGTACCATGGTTTCTGAAGCTAATGATAAGTTTATCTTCGCAGGTAAGCATATATATATATATATATATATATTTATATACGTTTCCTTTGAAGCTATTTTTCATAGGTGTTGACAGTTATAGGCTCAAATATGGAGTTGGCAAGCAGACTAATGAATTCTGTTATCTGGACTGTTATTTTTGCAGACTAATGAGCTCTATCAACTGGCATCTGTGGCATTCTGCTTACTTGTTGCTTGGGTTTGTCTCATTTACCTATTTCTAATTGCCTTGTGATTAACACACTCTTAAACAATTTGTCTTGTCTGCACAATTGTTCGACCAAAGTGTTCTCTGTTTAATTGATTTTATTGCAATCTAATTGCTATCAGAGATTTTTATTTGTTCCATCTTAATTGGAACCTAAGGAATTAACAGCACCAACCTACACTCCATTCACTTCCAATTTATGCATGCATATCTGCATGGATGTATTAATATAGATTGTTGTGACATTTCAGTGTAGTGATAAGCTGGGTTTAAGCCTTGAACTGGGTTCCTTTGCTGCTGGAGTGATGATATCTACAACTGATCTTGCTCAACACACGCTTGAACAAGTAAGGTTTTGATTTGTGTATCTATTTCTGTAGTCGCACAATACCTGATGACTTTCATTCTGCTCTGCTTATTATAGCATTATTCTTTTTATGTTTACTGCTCATTCTTTTGAGTTTGCGGCAGAACTTGGATGATTTTCATCAGAGTTGCTGCAAATTAACATTCATAAGTGGATTCTTCTGATTTGA